CACAGTCACGAGCACGCAGGCACTGCCCCCCACACGCTCGTGCCCACGTGCGCACTCACACAGCACAGACCCCGACGCGCTGGCACCCTCACCCGGGAAACTTCGCGCGCGCACACTCGCAAAGCGCCTGGCGCCACCGGGAACCAACTGTGAGAACTGCCCGGTGCTCCCCAACTCCTCCCCGCACCCCTCCTGCCCGGGGCCGCACGGAGCCCACGGCGCCCACTCCCTCGCTTTCTCCTTCCTTCCCTCCGGAGTCTCAGGACCCGTCCACCCGCCTAGTTGCCATGGCGACACCGGCTCGCTCCCCAGGTCCCCGGAGCATCCTCCCGCCCCTCCCCCGCTTGGGGCCTGGAGAGCCGCAGTGACCCTTGCGGGATGCAAGGCTGGGAGGTGTGATCCGCCTGCGGTCGCAGCCTGGGATCTGGGCGCCCCCAGCCCAGCGGGGGATTTCAGGCGGAGGGAGGAGACGGAGGGCTGCGGCTGGGGCTTTCCCACGCCTCCTCCCTTTGGCTGTTCAGGTGTCCCTGCTGGTGACCCGATCCTCCCCCGAGGGCGGGTGTCCCTTTCGGAGGGAAGGCGTCCCCTTTGGAAATGCACCGCCCTCACCGACCCTCCACCCCCTCCAGGCCCGTCCCCGCCAGTCGCGTCCCTCGGGGTGGTGCGGAGGGGCACGGGCTGCTCCGAGCCCCCAAGCGCTGCAGCCTTTCCCCAGCCGCCTGCCTTTCTCACCTGCCGCCTGCCCGCCTCACTGCAGCCTTTGATCTTTGCTCTCCTTTGCCCCAAACGTGCCATCCCCCAAAGTCAAAGTCCTCACAGTGGCTTCCAAGGCCCTTCAGCCCAAGACCCTGACTTCTCTCATCTCCTCGGGGGCTCCTCTCGCTGGCTCTCGGGAGTGTCACGTGCAGTTTCTAGAACACACCTGGATCTCTCAGGCCACCCGACCTGGACTCATAGGAGCCCTTCCTTCAGGGGTCACTCTGGCTCACCTCTTCCCAGGAGCCTTCCGGAACAGCCCCTCTGCCCAGCGTCCAGTGCCGGCTCAGGCTCAGTCTGGCCAAACGGTTTGTCCTGCCTGCACTGAGTTGCTGGGCCTGGCACTAAGCTGGCATCGCTGAATGTTGTGATTTAAAAGAGAAATGTGGCTGCACAACGATGTGAACTGTCTGCTTGAAAATGTTAAGATCCATTGTGATGTGGCCTTAGTCGGTTTGGCTCAGTGGCTAGAGCTTTGGCCTGTGGGCCAAAGGGTCCCGGGTTCAATTCCAGTCAAGGGCACGTACCTTGGTTGCAGGCTTCTCCCTGGTCTGCATGCAGGAGGCAACCAATCAATGTGTTTCTCTGACACCGATATTTCTCTCTATCTTTCCCTCTCTCTCCCATTCTCCCCCAAAACTAATGAGAAAATATCCTCGGGTGAGGATTAACAACAACAACAAAAAAGATCTATTGTGATGTGTATTTTTTAAACACACAATTTTTGAAAAGAGAGAAATACAGTCAAACTAGAAAGATAGCACTTGTCATCTATCAAATCATGAAATTCAAAGCATCGGTTAACACGCAACGTTGATGAGGCCGTGGGTAACGGACAGCACCTGTGGAGGCCAGGCTGATGGTGGCACCAAAAGGACAAATACATAGACTATTTGACCCAGAAATGCCACTTCTAGGATTTTGTCATCTATATATACATGCTGGTCCCACGAGCAAAATAATAGAAATTCAAGGTTATTTGCAAAAGATATGGAGCAACCTAAAGGTCCACGAGTAGGGGACCAGCTCAATCCACTACGACACAATTTCACACAATGAAATAGTGTGCAGCCCTGGCAAAGAGAGGCCCTTATGTGCTTGTACAGAATCGCCTTCACAGTCTCATATTAACTGGAAAAAGTAAGGTACAGAATAGCACGTATGGAATGCTTCCCTTTGAGGGGGGCAGTTTATATGTGCATAAATTATCTCTAGAAGGCTGCACAAGAAAGTGGTAACTACAGTGCCCTCTGAGGAGGTAGCCGCGAGGTAGGGTGAGGCACGAGTAGGAGTTATCTCCAACGTCTATCCTGCTATACCTTTTGAGTTTTGTTCCATGTGCGTATGTTTCCTATCCAAACGCATTAAAGGAATGTATTTTTCTAAGTAAAGGCAACCATTAGGTTTCCTTCAGGGCTCTCCAAGCTAAGGAAGGAGATCGGAGATCGGGCTCAGGGAGAAGCCAACATCCGGGGTGGAGCTGGTGGGCTTGGCCGGGGGCAGACCCGGGCCTGCAGTGAGGGGAGGGGCAAGTGGGCAAGAGCCTGAGAGCCCTGCATCCGCCACTGGGGTCTTCTCCAGGGGCTTGGCGCAGGCCCAGCAGAGAGCCTTGTTGAAGGGCTGAGCCCTGATGGAAAGGCTTTTCATCTGTCCATCCAGTCAATAAATATCTATCGAATCCCTACTATTTATTGTGGTGCCCTGACTATGACCAGGATCAAGCATCTCTGGTTTCACAGCCTTGTAGAGAGACAGACAATACACAGACAAGGCCCATGCAGCGAGATCGATGCGGTGACTGGGGACGGTCACAAGGTGTGGGATCTCAGTGCACTTCCCCGGGGAAGTGTTGTCTCAGCCACGACCTGGAAGATGAGAAGGCATTGGCCGGCCAAGCATGGAGCAAGAGTGTCCCTGGCAGAGGTTCATGCCAAGGCTGGAGTGTGCCAAGGAAGGGAGAGCCTGGAAAGATCCAAAGAGGGTAGGTGGACAGGGCTGGGCAAGTCTCGAAGGTCAGGGTAAGTTCAGAATCCACACAAGGAGCCACCAGAGGGTTTTAAGTAGTGGATGTGTGTTTCCCGGGTTGTTCTCACTGTGGGAAGAGGGAAGGTCAACCGGTCCACAGGCTGTTGCCATAAGCTGGGTGAGACATGGGGTTGGCTTAAATGAGGGGGGCAGAACTTCAGGGGGGAGGAAGTGGGTGGATTTGAGATTTCTGTTGGAAATCAAGCCAACAGGTCTTGATAATGGGTTTGTCAGAAGAGAGACGGGGGTGGGGTGGGGATCTGAGATGATCCCCGGGCTTTTGTGCTGAGCAGAGATCTGGAGGAGCCCCGAGACGCTGGCTGCAGTGGAAGGGAGGAGCAGGTTCGGGGGAGGAGAATCAAGAGCTCCATTTGCGATCTATTGAATCCAAGGTGTTTGGGGACATACAGAGGCATGAAGCAGGAAATCGGGTAGAGGAATCGAGCTCAGAGGAGAGGGCTGGGCTGGAAATATACATTTGTGAGTCATCAGCATATAGATGGTATTTAAAGCCATGCGACTGGATGAGATCACCTAGGGAGAGAGTATAGATAGAAAAGAGACAGTCCAAGACTGAGTGGGTTAGAGAACAAGGAGTCCCGAAAATCCGTGAGCGTGGCCGGAGCCTGGAGGCAGGTTCAGGACGCTGACAGACAGACAGACTGGATTAGAGAAGTAACCATTGGATTTGGCAAGTTATGAGGTCATTGGTGGACTTGGCAAAAGTGGTTTCAGTGGAGTGGTGGGGACTAAGAAAGGCCTGAAGGCGTTGAAAAATACATTCAACGAGGAGTAGAGACAGCAGGTATAGCCAGCCCCTTAGGTGTTGTCTGTGCTCTAATGATGTGTATCCTTGAGTTCTCTCCCCTGTGCGCCCTGAAGGCAGACAGCAGGGCCTGCTGACTTAGATCTAAGCCAAAAAGGGAGCCCAGCACACAGGAGGAGCTCGATACGTGCACTTAATCATCGGATGAGTAAATGAATGGATCATTCACTGCTTGAGTCGAAAGGGCCTTTTTGGGTAGAGAGGGCAGCTGTATTCTTTTGAGGCAATTGAGGGAATGGCAAAATCTACTCCAAAAGCTGGAGGTTCTGAACCCCCTTTCTCCCAGCTAAACCCCAGCAGCAGCTGCACATGGGGCCAGGGCCCTGGCCCAGAGCCAGGAACCAGGTTTCATCCCTGCTGCCCTTACATGCCTGTAACTGGGTAACTCGCTTTCTCTTTCTTAGGAGAGATAAGTGTAGGGAGAAGAGGCCCAGCCCTACAGGAGGCCCTCAAGGTATTAGTTTCCCCCCTCTTTCCCCCTTTTCTCTCTGGGCTTTTTTTCTTATTTGGGAAGCAGAACATGGCAAGTGCCTCCTAGTGTTGCTGTGAAGAGAGTGAGTGGGCAGTCCATGAGGGCAGGAGAGATGAGGGTGGGGACCCAGTGGAGGAGGGAGCGGACCCCACGCATGAACAAGCATCTGTGTAATAACACCAAGGAGACCCTGAAGTGTCCTTGGGCTTGGGTAGGGCGGGACACATCTGTGACAGACAGTCCCTACCTGCCAATCAGAGGGGAGCTAACTCTGAAGCAGACTGCGGCCTGCCAGAGTGAAAGTGGCTGTTGGGAAGTAACAAATAGAAGAAGGTTGGGGCCCTGGCCGGTTTGGCTCAGTGGATAGAGCATCGGCCTGCGGACTGAAGGGTCCCAGGTCAATTCCGGTCAGGGCACATGCCTGGGTTGTGGGCTCATTCCCAGTGAGGGGGGAGTTCAGGAGGCAGCCAATCAATGATGTTCCTATCTCTCTCTCCCTCTTTCCTTCTCTCAAATCAATAAAAATATATATACTTTTTAAAAAAAAGAAGAAGAAGATTGGGGACAAGAAAGGGGAAATGGGATGGCCCTTGAGGGAGACCACCCAGAGAGGGGAGCCGGCGAAAGCTCTGCATGACTGAGAGCTGCCTCGGGAGATGGGCCAGGGGACTGTCTCTGACAACCCCGTGCCTGCCATTCCCCCTGCGACGCCTTCTCCTGAGCATCTGAGGCACCTGTGGGCAGAGGGTGGTGAAGGCCTGGAGCTGGGAGCTGGGGAGCTGGGTCTTCGGGAGGAGGGAAAGCAGGCAGGCAGGCGTGGACAATGCTGCCACCTAGTGGGGAAATCTTATTATTTCTCTTGGTTCCCGGGCTGAGCAATAGGCGACAGGGCTTTGGGTGAGGGAAATGCCTGTGCTCCTGAATTTGGGGACCAGGGGGAGCCTCGGGAAGGAAAGCGCACGCCCCAGGGAAGTGTGCGCTGCCCACACTACTTTGCCCATCCGTGCCTTGGCTCCCTCTCCTGGGTGGTGAGGGCAGTTCCTACTCCACGGGATTGTGATGGTAGCTGAGTCCATCTATGTGAAGTGCTCGGCGTAGTACTGAGTGCTCAATACATGGTGGTTGATCCGAGGGGAACCGAACGTGTGTAGCCTTACCCCCTTCTACACAGAAAACCTGCGCCTTCTCTACAAACACGGTGTCCTTAGCCCCACCAAGCCCCTCCTGTTTCCACATTCTGGGGCGGCCACTGTGTACCCCAAGGGATGGGGGGCTCTGTGGGTCCCAGCCTCTCCCCTGCTGATTCCAGGGTGGCTGGGGGAGGGTTCCAAGCCCCAGCCCTTTCTCTCTCCCCTCACCCCAGAGTGTGTGGTCATAGGGCTCCGGGCTGTGACATCATAGAGCCCCAGCCCCGTCACAGGAGTGGAGAGGTCATGAGTCCGTGGCAGTGGGCGAGGGTGTGGGTGTGGCTGGTTGGGCTGGGGGCCGTGGAAGCAGGTGGGGAGTGGTGCTGGGAGCCGTGGGAAGCGGGGGAGCTTGGGGGGAGGGGGTCAGTGCCCCCTCAGGGGCTGGGAGGCCAAGCTTCGGCCTTTCTCTCTGTTCCCCACACTCTCTCCCATCCACCCCCTCCAGCGTGGGCCTTCTGGTGGAGAGTTCAGCTGAGCGTTGGGAAGTTCCTGGGACAGAATTGAGCCCCTCCATAGCCACTCAAAGGCCGTGTGGCCTGGCAGGGCCTGGGTCTGCCTCTGCCGCTTGGGGTGGGCGGGGGTCAGCGGGGCTCTTGTCACAGACGTCGCTGTGGTCCGCAGCACCCACCCCGGAGGGCGCCAGGACCTGGGCCCTGGGAGCAGAGTCTCTGCGCTTCCTGGACAGACCTGACTTCTTTGATTACCCGGACTCCGACCCAGCCAGGCGCCTGGCCGTGGCCCAGTTTATCGGCGAGAAACCCGTCATCTTTGTGAAGTCAGGTGGGGAGCAGCTTGAGAGGGGCCGCCTCCGTGTCAGAGCCTGGAGGCCGACCTCGGAGAGGAGCCCAGGCCGACGCCCCTGCCTTGTCCAGCAGGTTCCAACCCCAAGCTCTTCCATCACATCCTGGTGGGCATCCTGGTGGCGGCCTTCTTCTTCTTCCTTTTCCAGTTCTGCACACACATGTAAGGCTGCCCCCCCCCCCCCCCCCAGCCTTCCTGGTGGGAGGCCTCTCACCTCTGACCCCCATGCCCCCGCACCGTAGGAGCTGCCAGAAAGGGGCCTGAGGAGCCAGGCTGAGCGCTCAGACCCACCCTCCTCCCCTGCAGAGGAATAAAGGTTTTGCTGAGGCGGGCGGCGTTCACGCAGATCGTCTTTATTAGCGGTCTGGAAGCACCTCCCGGGGTCCCCGACCCCAGACTGGAGGAAGCCTTGGGGGGTCTGTAGCACCAGGGACATGCCAGGGCCTGAGGGCGAGTGTGCAGCCTACGGGGAGGGACCGGACCGCCCTCACCTGCCGGGATTGCTCAGCGCTGGGAAGGCGGGGGGAGAGCAGCCACCGCCCCGACAGACGAGTGAGAATGTGGGTGAATAAATAGGACCCCAGGCTGGCCCCCTGGAGAGGCGCTGCGGGCCGCCCGCCCTGAGCCGGCCCCTCCCGAGCAGGGAGCTGGGAGGAGCTGCAGCAGGGCCTCCCCACCTTCTGGTTCCTGGTCCCCTTGAGCCTCCATCAGCCTCCCCCCGCCCTCCAGCCTTACAAGGAGGGGAAGGGGCGCCCCTTCCGCTGCCCTTCGCTCTCCGAGGCCCCGGGCTGTGGTCAGAGCCGGGTCTGCGGGCGGGGCCGCG